ATGAGGAGGGAGGATAGCAAGCCAAGGGCCTCACAACCTCCCCTCCCCTAAATGTGGTTATCAACAGGCGTGGTCTGCTTTGTGAAGGTAATTTGTGTTCTTCATAATTTTTTCTTGGATTAAGCAAACCTTTATTTAAGCATCATGATGGTCATTGCCAGGTAATTAATTTTGTAGAAGATACATTTTTTGTTAAAGTTGGTCTTTTCTTCCAATTGTAATCTCCCAGCTAGAAGTTTTATGGGAAGGGGTCAGCATTGAAGGGGCCCAAATCAGCATTTGGGTCGAGCAGGGCCCCAAATAATGTGAATTGACACTCCCGCACCATGTATGACAAGTATTGCAGGCGTGCTTAGATTTCTTTGCTACCTTGTGGGTAAAGGACTATTCTTGCCTGTTGCAAAACCTGAGGTTCTGTGGAAGTGTAGGCATTGCCGTTTTTGCTGCGTCCAGTGTGAACAAAAATGTCCGTGTTGAAAGAGCAGAGCCCATCCTTAGCCTATTCACTACGTCCCATTTGGCCACACAGAGGCCCCTGTTGCAGATAAGTCAGCTTCAACTGGCCACCGTGGACGCTCGGGCTGCTTCAGGGACTCAAAACGTACTTACCATTAAAAATAATTTCAAAACACAAAATAACCTAGGCACTACCGAGGCCCCCTTAGACTATGTTAGAGTGGTGGTTAAGACGCGCGCCGGAGAAACCAGAGGTACAGGGCTCGATTCTCCTCGGTGCCCGTCCTGTCTGCCGGGATGGCACCATATAAGCAGGTGACGCCATACGGCGTGAGAAGTTCCGTGCAACGTAAGGCCCCAATGGTAACATCCGTTCACGGGCTGCTTTGACCTCACGACATTTCGTGTACTCCAGGTCCCTCTGTTCGCTCACGAGCCGTTTTACCTGACCAGTGCCCTTCTTGTCGCTGAGGGTCCTCTGGCTACTGAGGAGCCTCTTGGGGATGAGGTTCCCATTGGCCAGCTTAGGAACTTAACTGGTTATCCAGATCCCCTGGTGAAGAAGGGGAACTTTTAATCGCCTTTGGGACCCTCCTGGCCATCGCAGTGTTCGGCTGGCTGCTGATGGCCCACCAGCCGATTAGAGATCTATTTTGGCGCCAGAGCACATGTTTATAACTAAACGACCCTTTTGCACACCTTTTTTTGGGGGGGGGGGGCAATAAGTGCTTAGGGAATTGCCAGGCTACTGAGGGACCGTCCTCTCACTACTGAGATTATTTCTGAATTCTCAGGGCTCACGGTCCGCTCAGGACCTCATAATGGGCTCAAAATCCCTTATATCCGCGATCTGCTGGATATTCGTGAACCATTTAGCTGCACAGGGCTTTGAAGGGCGCATTTTGCCTCTCGCAGCCTGCCCGGTTACCACGGAGCACCTCATTTGCTTTAAAAAGCAGTGTAATATTATACGTGACCTTGTTAAGGAGTCCCTGCCTGCTTGAGGGTGTGCCGAAAGGCTGGGGCTCTGGAATTTGATTTTTCTGTTAAAAACGGAGATGCTGATAATCAAGCTCAAGTAAAACCTTGGGACACCTTCTGCGCGGAAGGCATGTTGATGTGCGGCTCAAGGAGCAGTGTATGCCGATGTTCAGTCACGAATTTACGTGTGACTCTGTTCGCGGGAAATTAAAAAACATCTACAGGCTATGGGTCAGGTATGGACATACGCATGAGTTCAACAAAACTGCCAATTTCGGGCTCTCGGTGCGTCCAAATAAACGAACTTACTGTTGAGCTTCTATATACAAAGGGTAGTAGAGACGGCTAGGGTCGGCAATAATTGTTATGCATCATGTTGGTGTAACACATGTCATTTCATTGGTCAAACGGCGGAAAATCATTAAGTTTGAGCGAGCAATTTTTGGTACCTTCGGTTCACCAAAGCATTTAACGGTCTATTAAAGTTGGGCTACAGTCGTAAATGATTGTTTTTTGTTGTTGTTTTTTTTTTGCTCAGTATGACAAAAAACGAAACAACTGGTATTTATTTTCGTCAAACAGTTCTGTGATCCCATGTTTCTGTGACCCCGATGCACCTTTCTTTCAGCACGCCCCCACTACCTCTCGGGCGGCATTTTGTACAGCCGCCTTCCGCTCAGTTTGAGCCCAAACCGGAACTCAAATATTACTTCTTGCTTTCCAGACAGCCTAAAAAACAGTTTAAACCTGTAGGTACCAATTGATGGGGCGCATCGAAAGATGCACAGCAGGTAACATATGTGGCGCCAGGATTGGAGCGTGCCTAAAGTGTGGTGAAGAATGCATTATGCTCGGGGTGGGGCTTGTAACGCACACGTGGTTTCCGTAAGGGGGCATGGCTTCGAGGAAGACGCATGTTAGACGTCATCCTCCAGCGCTGGCTACCACCGGTTGAAATTGTTTATTTGTTTATTGTTTATTTAGGACATACGCATTCCACAGGCAAAAACCCAATTACGGAAGCAGTCCAGTTTTAAGAACAATGAATATACGATACACACACAAACAAGAAACCCTAACCAAACACTCACACCCACACCCACACCCACACCGACCCACACCCACCCACACACCCACACCCACACCCACACCCCACACCCACACCCACTCACCCACCCACCCACACCCACACCCACACCCACACCAACACTCACACCCACACCCACACCAACACACCCACACCCACACCCACACCCACACTCACACCCACCCACACCCACACCCACACCCACACACCCACACCCACACACCCACACCCACGCACCCACACCCACCCACCCACACCCACACCCACACCCACACCCACACCCACACCCACACCCACACCCACACCCCACACCCACGCCCACATCCCCACCCCCACCCCCACACCCACACCCACCCCCACCCCCACACCCCACCCTCACCCCCACACACCACACACACACACACACACACACACACACACACACACACACACACACACACACACACACACACACACACACACACACACACACACACACACACACACACACACACACACACACACATTACACACAGTCGCGCATCAAGTTATCAAGAAAATGTTCTACGCTTGCCGGCGAAACTAAACAAATCAGATCGGAATGATTTTGTTTGATAAAAAAGTCAGTTGAAGGAAAATGCTGCAAAAATATATTGCAGATAGCGGGTAGTCATGCGACAAATCCATTTTTAACAGTGTTGACCCTTGCAAATGGCTGGTGGAAAAGGCCGATATGCCGAGAAAGCCGGACTGGTGTAGCCAGACTGAACAGTGATGTCAGGTGAGGGCAGTCAAGCCTGTGATGAAATACGTTGTACAGAAATAAGATGTCAGACTGAGCGAAGCGTGCCTTGATAGATGATGTTTTGAAGAAAGCGAGAAGACGCTTACAATCCATTGGAGGACACCGAGACTGGCTACTCGAACTAAACCATATGAGAAAGCGGTGTTGTAGGCTTTCGAACCGGGCGAGATGGGAAGCGGCAGCACCGCTCCAAATAACGCTACCGTGCTCTATCAGTGGTCTCACAAGCGTTGAAGGCACAAAGCAAAGCCTTGTGATTGAACCATGCCTGACGAGTGCACAACGGCATTTGCACGCTTTGCATGAGAAGGCCCAGCATCCTATTTGCTTTTGAAATAGCTGGATCTACGAGATTGGCAAAGGTGAGCTTGGTGTCCAGCAAGACGCAAAGATCGCGAATCTGCTGGCAGCTATCCAAGCGGTGACCGTGTAGTGCGTATGAATGGTGAACAGGTGAAGTGCGAAGGATGAATAAGATGGTATTGCACTTAGCTGGGTTCAATTTCAGTCCCCAATTTTTGGACCACTCACAGAGGCGATCCAAATCCGCCTGAAGTGTAAGACAATCTGCTACGTTGCCGACTTGGTGATAATTTTCACATCATCAGCGTACATAAAGCACTCACTCTCAATTTGGTCAGGAACATCAGCCAGAAAGCAGGCGAACAGCAACTGTCCTAGGATGCTGCCTTCCGGGACACCAGATCGCACTGGAATCCAGTCAGACTGTTTGCTGTTCAGCACTACACGCTGTGAACGATTGCTGAGGTACGACTCCAGCCAGCTGTACGCACGGCCAGTGATGCAAAAAGAAAAGCAAAGCTTGTGTAGCAGGAGAAGGTGGTTCACGCTGGTGAATGCGGAAGAGCAATCGGTGTAAACTGCATCTGTTTGTTTACCTTTTGAGATGGATGTCTAGCAGTGTTCAAGAAAACATCAAGGTTTGTGATGCAAGAGCGCTTTGGAAGGAATCCGTGCTGGGATGAGGGATGGGCGGGCAGGCAAACCTGTAATAGGCTATTGCTCACAATTTTCTCCAATATTTTTAAGCAGATGGGAAGCAATGATACAGGTCTGTAATTTTCAGGCAGCTTTTTGAACCCCTTTTTATGCACCGTATCACAGTCGCTTACTTCCACACGACGGGAAGGACGCCAGAGTTCAGAGAAAGCCTGCATATTATTTATAACGGAATAGTTAGCTCCTCGGCACATTCCCTGAGGATCCGGGCACTGAGCCCATCGGGACCACATGCCTTGTGTGCACTGAGATCATGTAACAAGTGTGCTACACGGCCATGTGGTACGGTAAAGCTGTCTAATCTAGGCGCATCGAGCAAGGGTGGGTCAGGCAATTTACGAACGTCAGGGTCACAGAAATGACGAGCAAAACACAGATTCAGACAGTTGGCACGCTGCTCGTCGCCCTTGTACACAATGTCATCGCAATCAAGGACAGGAGATATGTGCGCTGGTGACTTCAAGGACTTAAACAAAGGACCAATAACGTTTGGGTTGTCGAAGTCTCGCGCTAGACCCAACAACTACTCGCGATATTTAGCATCAGCTGCTGTTTTGAAGTTGGCTCCAGCAGTACGGTGCCTAGCGATATTGTCGGCGGTCGGAAGCGCTTTCTTACGTCTGTGAGCCATCTCCTTGTCACACAGCAAGTCTCGAACGGACCGGTCCAAGTATGGAGGAATTTTTTTCGGAGCTCAACAACAGGTATGAAGTCTGCAGTGGCGGCGAATACAAGATCGTAGAACAGATGAACAGCATCATCAACACTTAAATCATTTAGAATACACCAAGGAATAAGCCCGAGAGCAGTGCGCAGGCCGTTGAAGTCTGCCTGTTTGTAACTGTAAGCCTTAGATCGTATAGGGTGGGGGGCCGGTCCACATTTTACAGAAAACTGAGTCGTCACCATACGGTGGTCAGAGTTGAAAATACCGTTGCCGACCTCAGATACAGCAGCTCCACCATACGAGGTGGCGAGGTCCAGGATATCTTCCCCGCGCATTGGTGACGTTACAGATTGCACCGCCTCACACTCAGTGACAGAGTCTAGGAATTTGACGGCTCTGACGGTGCGCCTGAGTAGCGTAGCTTCGTCGCCAAATTCTGTAATGTGCTCAGCTGCCTCCGTTGTCGAGGTCCCTCGCCGTTTTTTTCGTTATCGAGGATTGCTTTTTTAGCGAGGATAGATTTTTTCGTGACAGCAAATCCAGCCGTAGGTCAAACATAAACGTGAGGCCACGGCAAGTCCCGAGGGTGGAAGAAGGTTGCTTTGTAGTTGTACTACCCTATCGTCCAGAGCCTGTGTGCCCGCATTCTCCGCAGCAGCAGCTATCCTGCACTAATTGGATGGCGTTGAATGAATGAACGCTTCGGTTTTGTGCATGATATTGCAAGTCGCGGTGATGAAAGACCCTTTCGGTGATACGCCGATTCCTGATGACGCTACTAGGTATGGACGTCATCGCCATGTCATGACATGTGGCGTCGTGTTACGCTGCTGTTGAGAAATTCGTCCGCAGAAATTTGGTCGGCAAAAAAATAACGTTTTTACCACCCCCGGGGTCTCGTTTCAGGCTATCGGCGGAGGAGAACGTCAACATCAGCACATGCCAAGTGCAGCCGATCTACAACGTGTTGCCGGACAACTACGATAAGTTTATGCCACCTTTCAGCAAGGGCAGGGCTCTTGATGTTCAGGTCACCTTCTGGATCTTGACAATAACGCAGATCAGTGAGATGAGGCAAGATTTCACTGTGAACATGTACTTACGTGTCTACTGGAAAGACTTCAGGATATTGTTTCCAGTATGTGAAGAGAAGCCCTTCATCATTCTTGACTTAGAGCAGCTGGACAAAATCTGGTTGCCAGACCTCTTCTTCAAGCAGGAAAAGAAAGCAATCCGACACCACGTGGTGCGCCGCAATGCTGGACTGCGACTTAACAAAGGAAACAGTAAGATAATGTACTCAGAACGACTGAGTGTTACCAATTTCTGCTCGTTTGATTTTAGATTTTTTCCCCTGGACCGTCAGCGCTGCTACTTGCCTGTCGAGTCGTACATCTTCAACGGAGTGTACATCAACCTCACCTTTAACTCGCCCGGCGTCTACTTCAACAACTTCAAGTTCAAAATTCCCCAGTACACACTGAGCTCGGTGGAGTCACATGACTGTTCATACTATCACATGTATGAGGGCGCCAACCTGACCCACACCTGCGTTCAGGCCACGTTCATATTCGACCGCCAGTTCAGCTACTACTTTGTGCAGATGTACCTGCCGTCGATTCTTATCGTACTCGTCTCGTTTCTGAGCTTCTGGATCCCGGTGGAGAACGTGCCGGGTCGCGTGGCGCTGGGTGTGACGTCTCTGCTCACGCTGGCCACCCAGTTCACCACCATGCAGCGCTCGCTGCCGCCCGTCTCCTATATGAAGGCCATTGACGTCTGGATGTTCTTCTGCATCGTGGTGGTCTTCCTGGCCATGGTGGAGTTTACTCTGGCTTACAACTTCAAGATCACTATGACCGGTAAATTTCGAGGTGGGGCAACTGTGGTGCCGTTTCGGCCAATGAACAAGAATGACACGGCGACTGATCTGCGCGGTGGAGACATCAAACCTAAGTCTAGAATGGTCTTTCTAGATAAAGAGGACGGAGGGGCATCCGTCTTCCGCGCTTTAGTGCTGTGGTGTGGGAAAAAGGTATGTTCGGAGGATGCGGCTTTCGTTGACAATGTGTCCAAATTCATTTTTCCGATCACATTTCTTTTATTCAACATTGTCTACTGGCTTTTTTACATGTCCCGTCAGAAATAGCTGAAGGCTTGTGCTATTGATCGTAGCGCCACACGCCGCCTGCAGGAGCAGACTGGGAGTTATTCGGCACGTCTGCGGCGAACCAACACAGACAAACCCTTGTTATGGTCCAGTGGACACAGGGACACAGCCGACGCGGATTGCCGGCAGCCGCCTCTACCTTCAGTCAGAATAAATTCAATGTAAATTTGACATTTCAACCTGTGTCCTGGACATACTTTGCTATTGTTTATCAATAATAGCCAAAAATTCGTTTTATGATGAAAGCCAGGTGATGAGCCAATATCATGGTTAACAATGGTAGACCGATTTTCGAAGCTGACTGATCGGAACGCGCAGTGAAGCTTGCAGCGTCAGGTGCCGAGCGGAAACGCTCCTCCAATGTTTGTGAGACTGTCGTGTTATCGGCAGTTGGAGTTGCAGTTTGATGATGCTATCGTTCCCTGTACGCCTGTATAGCCCTTCTATGGCTACAGCGACTCCAAACGATCAATGTTACTCGTTGTAGCGGCTACGTTGTAGTTATATGCACACTTTACAAATCCACGCGTGCAATATCCCTTGTTTGTTTTAGTCAAGTGAGATGAGTAAATGGCATGCGTGTACATACATGGATATGTATGTGTACAACTGTTAACATGCCTGCTGCTATTGAATGTACTGCAAACAGGGCGGAAATTTTTAGGAATACCTATAAGGGGGCGAAGCAGAACACGTGTTGAGGAGAGGTCACAAAATGTAATCATGATATAAAAGATAGCATGAACATGCTGAGGATTAATCAATTATTTACTCATTTATTTGGCATAAGCGATGTACAGATTTAAAAGATGCCCGCTTACGGATGCAGTCAATAAGTTAAAAACAGAAGTAATTTAAGTGAAGGAATTGGAAGCGCAAATAACAAACGATTTCTTCATTTCCAAGACAGAAAATTGAAAGTATACATAAGAAAGGACTTCAGGGTCCACATTAGAGATTTTCCAGAATAGAAAGAAGATCAATTTTAGAGAGTACATCATCCAGTGTGCTGAAAAGGGCACCAGACACAGCATCAGCTATTTGGCCCTTAAAGAGATCGACGATGACGTCGACGATGGGTTCGAGGAGGAACTCCCATATCCCGAGTCCGCGGATCTTCACGCTCACGCCCCTGCGAAAGGCCACGCGTGTCAGGGCTGTTGGCGAAGGACGCATATAGGTACGATTACACGAACGGGTGCATTCCGGCGGAATTACCGGATTCGAGGATGAAAGATTAATTTACCACGTCAAACGAAAGACAAGACACCTGCAAATGTTGTTCAAGCGAAGCATGGTATGAAATTAGGTGCATAACAACATGCATAATGCATAAGCAGCCGAACATGCCCAGGACACATGGGGGTTTGTTTATTTCTAAACACTACCCAGTATGAGAATCACTTTATATACCGTCGAGGGCCTGAGCACCCCGCTGCCCCCTAACCCCACTGATGTCGACTTTATATACCGTCGCGGGCCTGAGCCTCGCCGCTGCCCCCTAACCCCACTGACGTTGACTTTATATACCGTAGGGGGCCTGAGTCTCCCCTAACCCCACTGATGCTGACTTGGGTCCTCTCAATGCTCCTCTGAGCCCCCGATGCATATGGGAAAAAGGGAGTTTTGGGCCAAGGAAATGGGGAAAATGATATCAGCTATTGGTGTACTAGATACCTAGACTCATTACTGTTGGTATCATCTTCATTTTGCATCAAACAGTCATTGGTACGTACATAGCATTTTTGTCATGCCAGCCCCTTTGGATGTTAGGCCAGCCTTCAAATGTTTGTCAAAATTTTCACTTGATAACACCTGGATTGGGATCAAGAAGAACTGACTGCAAAACGCGGCAGCTTTTGAAAGTGCGGGGTGGACCAAATTAACCCATATTTCCTTCATTAGTGACAAGCGTATTTGTTGCACACCCGTAGCTGTGGTAGTATTCGACTGACAACTGAGTGATAAAAACACTGAAGCGGCGGCGGTAGTCAACAGTGATTGTGGGTCAACGGTAATTGTGGGTCAACCGCATAGCTTTGCGGCGCGAGCTTAACGTGCCGATATCTTCCGCACGGCTCATGCTGCGCTCGGCCGTTACTCGGGCCCCGGCTGGGCTGCTGCCAACAGCCGCAGGCTGTCTCAGTCGGGGACAAACAGAGAGCACGACTCGAACTCACTCGGCTACAGGTCTGTGAATCGGAAGGTAAGCGCTCTAAACAGAAGAGCTATTACGCGGACCACAGAACATCGCAGGACTGGGAAGATTTAAGGTATAGTTCCAGTGTATCTTTCGCCTGGCTGCGTCACAAAACGGGCGACGAGGAATCGAATCAACATATTTTTGCGGTGTGCTCCTGAATTAAATAAATATTGGCCTGGTCTTGACAGACTCTTGCAAAGTGGGCATGCGCACAGCTTCAAAACGTTAAGTTTCCTCAATATAATCAATACTTTCCGGAAAACGTTGCTCAACCGTTACCTCCAGACACACTGAGGGGCGATTATTTTCAACATGACAACTCACATCACCCTGAAACACTAAGTTGCAAGACTGTCCTTGCTTATATGACCTGCCAAGACGTGTCAAGCCGCTGGTCACGCCGATTTTTTTTAGATGGCCACTCTGGAGATCCATTCGGTCACCAGTCCCTACCTTCGCTGTCCCTCCAGTTATCGACATTTCTGGTGAAAAGGTCGTGGAGTTCAGTTCTAGTTTAAAGTATCGGTACATCGCGGCAGTGTACTCTAAAATGTTCCATATGTTACCGCTCCTACGTGTCAGGCCACGTATTTCCGCATGCACACATGTTTTTGCACCTCGGGCCAGCTTCGATGCGGGACGAACGACACCTATTTTTGTTGAGTACGAAGGTCCAAATAACCAGCATGTTTTTTCGTGAATTACACTGTTCTCTCCTCATCACAAAAATGCGGCTTCACTCTACCTTGAAATGTAAGTCATTTCTATGCCGAAAAACAATGTTAATTTGACCGAAAACCGGAAAAAATGTGTTTCGAGGGAATTTAGGTTAACTTTATCGGCTCAGTCTCCCTCCGTCCCCCCCCCCACCCCCACCCCCAATTCACTCTAAAACTAGCATTCCTGCCATCCAATGTTCGAAAATGCCATGCCAGACCAAGAGGTGACAGATGGTGCATTCGCTGCCCTAGCCGAGTTTGAAGAGGACAATCTGCCTTGACCCAACCTTTCCAAGACATTGATCTAACTTTTACATTTTTACATGCGGGTTCACAAATATAGCTCCTGAAATGTTACACTAGACGCGAGCGCACGTAACCAGCTGTGTGTGCAACGATGCTTCTGTAGATGACCGCGCGTGTTCATCAGCCGGAGTTGCTCGATCCAGCAACGAGTCGGCCAACATGTTAATGATCGATGACATGCAGGCAGCTGTGAATTGTTAATAAAATGGGTCAGTCAAGAACTCAGCCAACCCACCGCCTGTAGGATGCAACTCGCGCGGCGTTACATGTAAGAAATCCATTGCCAATATCAATTATCTACCCCATCAGACTTACTCCCAGCGGCATTCTGCTATGTTTGTGTTACTTCTAAAGCTCAACACATCTGGTGTATATGTTATGTGGCACAATGCCTGTCGCACTGAGTACTACGGACGTTGCATTGCAAGCAGTGCCTTACTGATGATGTAACGACGCATGCTGCTTGCAAACGAGTCTTAATACAGCCACCAATGTAAACCACCATGCGTCATACCCGATATCGGAGATCTTGAGATCGGTGAGTTTGATGGCCAGCGACTTGGACGAGATCTGGGCAGCGAACTGCGCCTTGGTGTTGCTCAGTGTGATCTCGGCGGTGACGTGCGGCCCGATGCCGAAGACTTCGATCTTGAGTGTGTAGCCGGCCGACATCTGCTGGAAGCCGATCCCCGAGCTGACAGACAACCACTCAGCCTCGTCGTAAGCCAGCTGGGAGTCGCCGTTGCGTCCGCAGGATGACAGCCCCGTTAGCGAGCCCTGGTACAGCTTCACACCGGTGCCGGCCGCCTGCCGCAAGATCAGGCACTGGTCACGCCCAGAGGTGCTGCGGGAACGAGACATCAGCCCGTGGCGGGGCGCTGCTCAGAGGTGCTGCGGGCACGGGACATCAGTCCGCGGCGGGACGCTGCTCAGAGATGCTGCGGGCACGGGACATCAGCCCGCGGTGGGACGCTGCTCAGAGGCGCCAACGAGCGGTCGTGGTGGGATCGCTGCCACTGCCCGCTCGGCGGATCTCTTACTTACTGATCGGCCGTGGTGGCACGCCAAGTGTGGTGACTCAGTGGCGGCCAGAGGCGTCGCGCCTTGGGCTCGCGGCAGCGTACACACACACATGACACAGGATCGTGACCGGGCCCGTTTAGTCGCTCACATGGTACCAGCCGGCCTCTGGGGCGTGACACAGGATCGTGACCGGCCCGTTTAGTTGCTCACATGGTACCAGCCGGCCTCTGGGGCGTGACACAGGATCGTGACCAGGCCCGTTTAGTTGCTCACATGGTACCAGCCGGCCTCCGGGGCGTGACACAGGATCGTGACCGGGCCCGTTTAGTCGCTCACATGGTACCAGCCGGCCTCTGGGGCGTGACACAGGATCGTGACCGGGCCCGTTTAGTCGCTCACATGGTACCAGCCGGCCTCTGGGCGTGACACAGGATCGTGACCGGGCCCGTTTAGTTGCTCACATGGTACCAGCCGGCCTCTGGGGCGTGACACAGGATCGTGACCGGGCCCGTTTAGTCGCTCACATGGTACCAGCCGGCCTCTGGGGCGTGACACAGGATCGTGACCGGGCCCGTTTAGTTGCTCTCACATGGTACCAGCCGGCCTCTGGGCGTGACACAGGATCGTGACCGGGCCCGTTTAGTTGCTCACATGGTACCAGCCGGCCTCTGGGGCGTGACACAGGATCGTGACCGGGCCCGTTTAGTCGCTCACATGGTACCAGCCGGCCTCCGGGGCGTGACACAGGATCGTGACCGGGCCCGTTTAGTCGCTCACATGGTACCAGCCGGCCTCCGGGGCGTGACACAGGATCGTGACCGGGCCCGTTTAGTCGCTCACATGGTACCAGCCGGCCTCTGGGGCGTGACACAGGATCGTGACCGGGCCCGTTTAGTTGCTCACATGGTACCAGCCGGCCTCCGGGGCGGGACGCAGTCACTCGGCGTTTCTGCGTGTTTCGCGCAGTGTGAGGGCTGGCACGGCGACTCTGGCTGAGATAGAGGCTGAGAGCGCAACACGTGGGTGCTGACCTTGACTTGTGTGACGGCTCCGTCTGGCGCTCCCCGCTGTCTCGAGGGGGGGAGGGAGACAGATCGCCGATAGTCGGTACTAAGGCCGACCACTGTCTGTCATGATAGCCCTTAATAGTCCTGGCAATGAGCAGTCACGGCCGTACCTATTTCTCCTTGCGGGTGATGCAATATTACCGTTACATCGAATTCTGGCAGGGGAAACGGATCCAGCTTATTGGACTTGATGTAGTTTTGCAGGTACGGGATCAGCCGATCGAAGAACGAGTTGGCGTTGGCAGTGCTGGTTAGCGCAGGCACCAGAGCTCTGCCGGCACAACACACGCAGACCAGTCCAATGAAGCATCACACGTGATGACCGCCATTGCCACATGTACATACAACACTGATCACTTTTCTCCTCAGATGACGGAGAGAGCCATAAAGCAGTCAAACCAACGACACGCACTATTGCTTCTTGCGCAGCGATGTGCACTCACTCCACTGAAAGCAGGTCTCCAGTCTAGAGTCACAGTCGCCTGCCCTGTGACCGTGACAGGTGACCTTTGCTCGCTTGTGTAAGGCGAGTTCGGCGGAGCAGCCCACCTGCTCTCCGGCTGCGGCTCCGGCTCGGCCAGGATCGGTAGGGTGACGTTCCAGAGCAGGTCGTTCAGCTGTTCGATGATGGCAGGCAGCAGGTCGCGCCTCGTGTCGTTTACCAGGATGTCGATCAGCAGAGGGCCGATGTCGTCAGCGAACCCGTCAATCACGGTCGCCAGGTCGTCGTTGTCGAACAGGTCATGGATCTGAATCTGCGAGGGGGAAAGCAACGGTGGCAGCTCCCAACTCCTTGACTTGTCATGACGCATTGCATTGCTATTCGATTGGTAAAGTGACAGCTCTCAGTTGTGAGAGCGACCAATTCAACGAGTCACTCCATTCGAGTTTTCGTAGATACGGCAGCTGTTAGCCTTCTTCCTCGTAGAATAATCATGAGAAAGGAAAGATAGATACATAGGTAATTCGGCTACACTCGTTTATCTAAACAAATATGAGCAACCACCATTCATATTCGTATTGACCAATGTTCGTTTCCATAAACGCACGTAGCTGAAGTATCAATGCGTCTATCTCTCCTTTCTCCTGGTTATTCCACGAAAAATGAGGCTGACAGTACTGTCTTATCTATGTGTGTAATGCTCGTCTCAAATGCACTTAAAAACTTCCGTTTGAGTTATCGTTCCATTGTCTAAATGAAAATCCAAAAGCTTTGCCGGACACCTGCAAGTCTCAAATCCACCACAAGCAGGACGATCATGCACCTAAATAACATAATGTTATATTTCAACCCCTGAAAACATAATTTCCATGGACACGGCAGGTGGACTTTGCGGCTGTTACGAGAAAAATGTTAAAGTTCCTCATGTTCAACTGTCCGTAGCAAATGAATGCAGCCGCATGTCATTCATTTCAGGCTGTCGGCAAACATACGTCCATGGCGTTCACGTGGAAGTCGAAGTCCATGGTGGCGATCTGCACGTGCTCGTGGCCGTCTGTGCGGTTGAGGTTGAGGTCGGCGTTCACGCTCAGGGAGATGTTGCTCAGAGCCACGCTGCGGCAGGGGCGGGGCGGGCAGGGCTTCACACCGGGCTGGCAGCAGTCCACGGCGCCCGGTAGTCCGGCGGCGCCCCTCGCGCGGGCCACAGCCCGGCCCATTGCCGGCTCACGGCAGCTAACCGCATGATCTTTAAAGGGTGTTCGCAAATGGACAATAGGTTACTGCGTTGTGAGGAATAGCCGTGACATAGAGTATCATGCTGGTCATTTGGTGGCAACTGCCTGCAGTTGTATGCTTATGAACCAGAATCTTGAGCCGGTTAGTTAATGCTTGAGCTGTTCGATCGTAATGCGTGGATTATTAGTAGGTCTGTACTACCTGGACGGACCAGAACTGTAGTGTATGAGTACGCCAGCACTACCTGGACGGACCAGACCTAAAGAGTATAAGTAGATCTGCAATACCTGGACGGACCAGACTTGTAGAGTGTAAGGAGGTCCGCACTACCCGGACGGACCAGACCTCTAGAGTATAATTAGGTCTGCACTACCTGGACGGACCAGAGCCGTAGAGTGGGAACAGGTCGGCGATCAGGCCCTCCAGGAAGTAGTTACAGACCAGCTTGATGTCGGACAGACTCAGCGCCAGTTGTGCCTTCAGCGTCAGCAGACTGACGTGCACTTTATCGATGACGAACTGAGACAGGTCGGTGACGTCACCGTCCGTGATGTTCGCGTGCACACTGCAAACAGACGGATCGCATCAACTCTGGCAGACTCGATCGCTGACATCCCAACGGCGACACCGTCTCGACTCATTTTCAAAGGTTAACGATCCAATGCATTGGTGAATATTTGTTATGCTCTATTGTGGATTACGCTGCAATATCCCTGTTAGATACAGGTATTTCTGGTCGTTTCATAATTATATCCTTGCAGGTAACAACAAAAAATAGCTTTGGGCCAAACGCCACAGATAGATACGGTGTCATTGCTTAATACGCGCTGCATGAAGCGATGTGCCTCTCGAAGTCCTTGGATCTCTTGAAGTATGTTCGTAGCTAATCAATGTTTCCCTGATTGTTCAAACCTGGCTGTTCACTCTTAACGAGCACCAAAGAAGACTCCCATAGACTAAATCAGTTACTTATGTTGTCTCCCCGGGTGGAGGACGTAGTTGCAACATGTACAGCTACATTTGGTGCCGGCAGCGGATTCGGGCTTTGGCCCGCCGGGACAAATCCAGTGCCGCGATGTGGCGCCTGTCTTGGGCCGTGTCACCGGTTCCATGAACACCGTCAACTGCTACTGAGCCCTACTGCGCTAGCGCTACTGAGGCTACTGACTGCTACTGAGGTTAGGGCACACAAAGGTTTCTATCGACGTTTGGAACATGAAGAATGATCGCCAACAGGCACAGCGCCCTGCCATAGGTGAAGCAATGTGATAAAGAGCCAGCCGCACGCCGCGCACCTAGCCAAAATAGACACGCATGCGACGCACAAAGCCTGCAGGCGATTTTTCGCCGTGACATCCACGTCTGACCTACTGCGGAAGACCAAGCAAGACAACGTTTATAAATTATTAGTCAGTTTAGCCAAGCGGCGTGAGAAGAATCCGTAGGTAGCAAGAGAAGCACTCGGGAAATCGACATTTGAACAGAGAATGACGGTGGTGCATAGGGCCGTCATGTGGCGAAAAGGGGGTTTGGATTGATTGTTGTTGGATTGATTGTTGATTCCTGAGGAAAAACGCATCAGAATATGGGATTTCCGCGATTTGTGAGTGTGCGATTCCTGGCGATTTCTTGGTGTCGATGTAGATGAGCAGCCAGGTTGCAAGAATATTGACCTTGCAACATGGGTGGAACTTCGTATATCTTCGGGAGGGCCATGCCACCTTTTCCCTCCGTAATGTTTAGCTGGACCTCCCGATGTTGGGCTGGGCGTCCACAATGTGGAACACGCCCTGCAATTCTCCATCAGCGTAAGAAACAAAGATAATTTCTAATGTCATCTCAGAACTTGGCAAAATAGAAATGTTTTTTTTTCAAATCCAATGGTTTATTTGTATGTGCTGTTTAAATGTGCAAATATATCTACTTACATGTTTCGTTCCAAAGGTTCCCGTTTTGTACTGGCGAAATGCGGTGCACGCCTCGCATATCAGGCAGGTGTAAACGCATGTGGAATTCGAGCGCGTCTTTGTAATCGGCCGTAACGTAATGTAATCGGCCGTGCTGCGCAGGTCGCTGGTCGAGCCATGAGGTCTCAGGGCGAGGGCCACATGCATGAGGCCACAGTACTTCAGCCACAGTGCAAGCGAAAAAGCACGCTCCAGGGTTGTTTCTGGGCGTAGCACCAGGGGCGGACCCACCAGGGGCGGACCCACCAGGGGCAGACCCACCAGGGGCAGACCCACCAGGGGCGGACCCACCAGGGGCGGACCCACCAGGGGCGGACCCACCGCAGTGCGGCGCGGCCCATCAAGAGGGGCCGCGCTGCACTGTGGCACCCCTGGAGCTTAGTGCCACCCTGCACAAAAGTTCCCCCCATTTCGACCACTTTATTTTCAGATTATTATTTTCGAATCGGGAAACCCCCCGTGCATCGTGGAGGGCAGACAGGTAGAGTTAGGCAGACAGATAGAGTTAGGCAGATAGGTAAAGTTCCACTCCTGTGGTCACACATTCGAAATTCATTTCACATTTCTTCGATATAAAGTGGATAAGTCAGTCGTGAAAAAAGGGTTAGAAGGCTAAAATTAAAAAAAGGTTAGGTCCTCGGTCCTTCAACTGGTCCTCTGGATCCCAACCGCAATCATGTACAAAAGGTTGACATCCTTGCATTGACGCCACGGATTGCCGCGTAAAAGTTTTCCACAATTTGTGCAAGAATTCGTGAGATTATATGGAGTTTTGCGCAATGAATGTTGTCCAAAAACGTTTCTCTTAATGAACAGCTACCCTGTTTCCCTCGCCCATCGCTTCATTCTGCTTCCTCACCTCTTGGGTAGCGGATTGCCCGCCGTCACGCACGTCCCGGTTGGAGTTTTGCCAGAACGCCCTCGCACACCCCGAAGACTTGCCTCTATGTGGGCTTAAGATTCGGTAGTGGTGGCAACCGAGGATAACCTCAATGACGACCCACCACTTACCTCCCTCCCCTATCACATAGCTCTAAAGTTGGCAGACACGCTGAAAACGCTCTAACGGCTAACCAAGCCAGAAGCGTCGCCGACCGATGTGCCACTTGCATGGAAGCCATTTGCTGGTTGTTTCGAAGATGTTCCGTCCGGCCGGCCGCGCCCCCACGTGGCAGCGTGCCAGTTCGTCCTACCTGATGCCAGACTCGTCGATGGCGATCGGAATGTTGGCGATATGCAGCGGGTCCAGCGGTGGGACGCCCCACTGCGGGAAGCCCTGCGACATGTTGGCGCGAAGCTGCTCCAGCAGCTTCCTGATCAGGTCATCGATGCTGCCGGCTGGCATCGGCTCCCCGTCCGACAGCGCTGTAACAGGCCGCAGGCGTGGTGGAGCCCCGGCTCCGGTGGGGTGGTTCGGCCACACGGCGGGTGTGCCTACCCGTAGGTCCCGGAGGGTTTAGAGTTGGCCATGATCTGTCGCTTGTTGGCAAGGAAGCGTGACACCTGCAACTAATGTAGATCACCCAACTGCATTGTTTATATGTTCAGCGAAGGAACGATCGGATTTCGGGTCTGGCACGCCTTCAGATAATTCAACATTAGACCCACTCGTCATAAAATATGCTAATCGAACGCACCCCTGCCTTCCAGCGCGTTAGGAAATCGATGAAATGAGCCACCGTAGTGATTCCAAGCGGCTGGAAGGCACTGTTTTGAACGAACTGACATTTATGTTTCATAATCAGTTGGTCCAGCCGAGTTTTGAGCCAGTAACGTAAGATACTCTGTGGCAATGTGTATTACGCAAACCAGATGGTGAAGGCTCGGTCGGACCTCTTTTTTCACTGCCGATGACAAATGCGCACGTTAACTGACAGAACTGGGAACTGGGAACACACGAGAGACGAAGAATCAATAAGCACAAATCATGCTGATCAATGAAGAGCTATACCTGTTAGATAATCAGTGCTGTCCAGCTCTTGAAACAGCCCGGTGCATTGCAACAGCAGCAGACTGATGACGAACGTCCTCAGCAACATCTGCAGCGAGTGCGAGGTGAGCAGAGGGCTCAATAAAGAGCGCCTTTATTCAGACCATTACCCCGCTTTTCACTAAGAACGCGCCTTCGGTGGTTTACCAGTTCCGAGACACTTGAGCTAACCGTGACACTTCCCGAGCAATCCCTCGACACAACCTAAAAACTCATTGTGCGGCACGTATGTATGTACCCGTGCTACAACGTGCAACTCCACAGCAGGTATTCCGTGCGCATGCCTGCACACCTTCCTTTGCGTGCCGGCGGTCCGTGCTGAGTGGTGCGTCGTTTACAATCTGCACAGCCCTGGGCGGGTATCACGTATGCTGCTAGTCGAATGCCATAACACTCATTCTGACTGCCTCTCAATTATCACACGACGGTGCTGACCTCTTTGGCGTTGGACGATCCCAGCGAAGTGCTTTCAGATCACGTTCTTTGCGACTGAAGTGCACCTGCAGCTCCAGCAGGACTTTATTGGGCCCGGTTGTGCACAGATCCTTAGATAGCAAGGTGCTGGCGCGCCGTATCCGAAAGCCATATGCTCTTTTCCCAAGATGTTTCTCATTTGTGCAAATATTTAACAACAGCTTGATGGTAGGTGATGAAAATGTGCTTACACAGGTGAGAAAATCAAATGTGACTTTGAAGCATAGTATTAACAGATGCATTAGTTCACTGGAGAAGAACAGCCTTGTACTTCTCATTAAATATTATTGCACTACGCATTAAACATTATTTTTTAATCCGAAGGCCTTACGCATAATCGAAGAATTTAGGATCGATTTGGGTATTCCTGCATTCATTATGAATGAGTTAATGAAGGATGCATTTGGAGAACGCGCATGTCCTCGTTGAAAGGTGTTTCCGTCTTAGCACGCGTTTGTACCAGCCGTCCATAGTTCAGGCGTTTGTACCAGCCGTCCATAGTTCAGGCGTTTGTACCAGCCGTCCATAGTTCAGGCGTTTCAATCTTTTCTGGCAGCGAATATAAGAGGCAGTGGCCGTTGGGTGAAGCTTCGTGTCGGCTCCATTCCCACGTGCGAAGTGCAATTCCTCAACCGGAGGCGACAACTGTGCCACCAAAATAGCCGTGTGATGCTATTGCACGGTGTTACTCTCCAGAACTGTTTGGCCACTAGGCTGGGACGAGCCATCCGACATAATTCGCAACACCTTAGAAAGGGAGAGCATCCGCGTGACAACAGTGGATAGATGGGATTCGTATCCAAAAGTCACTCTGGAAAACAATGAGCGCCACCGAATTAACGAAAAAGAGTCTGTCGTCATGAGACCCCCACGTTGTCGTTTTTGGTAGTCACTGAAGCACTTGACTCGATAACATTACATTTAAAAAGAGCCTGATGCTATTTTTGAACAAAAGTCCGACAGGCCTAGGAGATAAAACGCCTCGTTAGATCACACAAAAATGTCAACTTGACCCAGATGGAGACTGCCGTTAGATCACACAAAAATGTCAACTTGACCCAGATGGAGCCCGCCGATGCATGGCACACGTATGACGCGAGTAAGCACCGTGTGAGTGGCGTGAGTGGCGTGAGCTGAGTGACCCGACCCACGGCCGTATCACTGCCAATAGACGCCCGAACTCTAGGCCCGATCCCACGGTAGCGTCTATGAGTGACCCGACGCGGCCGTATCACTGCCAATAGACGCCCAAACTCTAGGCCCGATCCCACGGCAGCGTCTATGAGTGACCCGACGCGGCCGTATCACTGCCAATAGACGCCCAAACTCTAGGCCCGATCCCACGGCAGCGTCTATGAGTGACCCGACGTGCGGCCGTATCACTGTCAACAGAGGTCCAAACTCTAGGCCCGATCCCACGGCAGCGTCTATGAGTGACCCGACCCACGGCCGTATCACTACCAACAGAGGCCCGAACTCTAGGCCCGATCCCACGGTAGCGTCTATGAGTGACCCGATGTGTGGCCGCATCACTACCAACAGAGGCCCGAACTCTAGGCCCGATCCCACGGCAGCGTCTATGAGTGACCCGACCCACGGCCGTATCACTGCCAACGGAGGCCCGAACTCTAGGCCCGATCCCACGGCAGCGTCTATGAGTGACCCGATGTGTGGCCGCATCACTACCAACAGAGGCCCGAACTCTAGGCCCGATCCCACGGTAGCGTCTATGAGTGACCCGACCCGCGGCCGTATCACTGTCAACAAAGGCCCAAACTCTGGGCCCGATCCCACGGCAGGCTTTATGAAGATCACTCAAAAGGTTGTATGGAGGTCTGAGGTCAAAATCGTTACTTGTTAACCGATTTGAATCGGACTTCCTGCAACATTTCGGCACGCACTGTTGAGGTTCACTTTTCAATTAAATGTGATCGTGCCAAAAGTTACAGCCTTGCACAAAAATATGACATTTGTTTTTTTCTAACTGTCATTTAAGGTGATAAAATGATAGTGAATGTGATCATTATAAAGCATGCGCAAACTGTGAATATATTTGAACTGCACATCGAAGGCCTGGTCAGTCCGCACGTTACATACAAAGCAGGAAAATACAAGGGCTGCTACACGAGTACATGCGATACCGGTCAATTTCACTACGTCGTTCATAATGATACATCGTCCAACGCCAGCACAGAATGGTCATGTGGTCAGATCTACGTGCATGCACTTAGAACGAGCGCGCTTCCAACCCACAAATAAAACTAAATTTTATGATAAATAAAAGCTGATCACAAATCCAAACATCACGTTCGACACTCGCACTCGGCATATCATTAAAAAAGCGTTGAGGGAACCCGACGTATACCACCATTTCCGGGCTGTTTTCATTAGTTAGGCACTGGCAAATCTACATGCAAAGGGTGAGAATCCCAAATCCTTTTAAAAAAGTTGCTCTGTCGTGCAGCTGACAACCAAATTGTGTTGAGATGCATGACGGCGACGAAAATCCTCCACAGCGGAACAATTCAAATAGTTCGATATGAGACGCGGGTATACGGCTGGACACAGAACAAATCACAATGGCAGGTTAAACATCACATGACATTGGTTAAATGGCCGAAAAGCCATGTGGCACTGGGAACGGGGCACAATTCATTATCAAAGGGAAATCGAATCCTTCTCTTCCCAGCACACCAAGAACTGATCGCGTTCCAAATGGCGATAACCTGTGAGCGCTCAGACCGCCTCTGGCCTGTATTTGTACGCTCTTTTCCAGATCTCGTAGAGGCACACAGTGCTATGGGAGCGGTAGAAGATGGCCAGCGATAACATCTCAGCGCTCAGACCGCCTCCGGCTTGTACTTGTACGCCCTTTTCCAGATCTCGCAGAGGCACACAGTGCTATGGAAGCGGTAGAAGATGGCCAGCGGCATGGACACGTGGCTGATGATGGTCCACGCCCAGAAGCCGAAGAAGTGCAGCTGCTTTGGGTGCGCGTCGGAGCGGGACGTCTCGAACGTGTTGATACACCACATGGCCAGGTTGCAGATGAGCAGGAATGTGACCACCTCCCGGCCGGGCTTGTCTCGCACCTGCCACGCCACACATTCCGGTCAGCTTACCGTGGCAGTGTCATGCCGGCATTGGGCACACGGCAAACGAGCCATACCGTCATTTTCCAATTAAGAGTAAGCTTTAAAACGACGACGAATGTGGGAAAAACTGTCGCGGATTGGGTATTGGGCAGTCGGGCCGCAATGTTGTCCTTCGCACAGAAATGTGTTTTCATTTGGCGACAAAACAGAGATCCCCCATGGCCTTAGTGACCTAGCATGCTCGCTGTAATATCCTGACCTGGCGTGATCTGTAGGCCTGACGGCAGGAAGCGTCCAGTATGAACATGGTCTGCACGGTAACCTGGCGAGAAGATGAAAAATCTGAAAGCGTCTTCTGCAGGTTTAAAATAAAATCCACAACTACGTAAGTTATTCAGTGCATTAGTGAAGAACATTATTCGCATAGAAAAGACAGTAGCAATAGTTTTATTCCTCGGAGAAAAACCAGAAGAATGGAGATATAGTTCGGTTGATATTTCGGCAACATGCCTTTATCGAAACTTTAGTTTCAAGAGGTTTGCACGCAAAAAAAGTGGTTTACGAAGTCAAGTGTAAACTGTGTGAAAAACGTGAGAGAGACATGGTCTATGCCGGGGATTCCATGCGCCCTATTCGTTTGAGATGTAATGAAGATCTGCGAGACTAAAAATAAAACAGGGTAAACAATACAATAATAAACAAAAATAAACAAAAATAAACAATACAATAAATAAATACAAACAAACACAAACAAAACACAACAAATACAAACGAGAATAAACAATACAATAAAACAGAAAAACCACCTTTCGGTGACCTTTCTGTGGCAAAACACGCTAAGGCTGAAATCGAAGGAAGTATGGACCCTATGCCCATTTTAGAGCTCAGTCATCTACAGAGCACAGGGCCACCCAGGCAGGAAAATAAGTTAACCTTTTCTTATCAAAAGTCGGTGACCAAACTCTAACATACAGGGCTCATTATGACCGATTATGGGAACGTGATATGTGCCTTTATGTGTGATCCGTGCTAGCTTAAAATCGTTTACATGTGTAAGTGGTACCTGACGCGTGATGTGCCATGCCTCTTCAGTTGAAATCGTTTGCATGCATAATTGATGCGCGATGCGTGATGCCTGTTTGCTTGAATTCGTTTGCATGTACACGTAGGTTTGCGCATTCTAATTCTTAGGTAGGCACTGGATCGTGGTAATGACTGGCAATCGCTCTTTGTTTAAACCTCTGAACGTTGGTGTCCTGTAAAAACTGTCGCATGCTTTTAAAAAAAGCTGAAAGATGGAGTAGGATCATCGGCAGGCAATTTTGAATTCACTTCTGCTATTGTTTTGATAAAGACATGTTGCCGAAATCTCAACCCAACTATATTTCCATTCTCCTGGTTTTTCTCCGAGGAATAGGGCTAATACTACGCGATTACACCGTGATTTCTCTTACGTCAGCAGCAACAAAAAAAATCGGCTTACCAACACACACACACACACACACATATATATATATATATATATATATATATATATATATATATATATATATATATATATATATATATAGAGAGAGAGAGAGAGAGAGAGAGAGAGAGAGAGAGAGAGAGAGAGAGAGAGATATATATATATATATATATATATATATATATATATATATATATATATATATATGCGTTATAATTAGACTAAATGCTTGTTTGGGTGCTATGTAATTCGACTAAGAACTAAATGGATTTCATCTCCGAGTAAATGCTTGCATCACTAAGCAGAATGCATATTTCCAAAATAGAACCGATCAATTGTCGACTACAACACGAGCCCAATGATACCTTATGCGCTCGCACACACCCTCAGCACACCATAGGATAAGCCGAGCCTTGCGCGTCAGATCTGCTCGGTCGATGCGACATACCTGTACAATAGACATGACGCCCGTGACCAGATAGTAGACGTCACCGGAGAAGTGTGAGCCGATGATGTTGAATGAAGCGTACAAATAAACTCCAGTTTGGGCCACGACCAATAGGATGTTGTCCAGCTCTATGTTTCTGTCTGTGTCGTACCTGCAACGCGGACGTCACAGAGGTCAATAACGTGCGGACTTTTCCGGGTGGTTGATCGACAATAAATAGCGCTCGACCACAGCACAGCGAATGTTGAACAGTGGTGCTGATAATGGCAGGATGAAAATTCACCGAAACAATTTCAGCACGAATAGCCTAATTTCCATGCAACACATCTAATCGATGCACGTTGAATACGCACGACAACCATTTCATACTGTCATTTCAGTTGGCGCGAATGTCCCGCTCCGGAGTGAGCTTTCATAAGTCTTCAGATAGCTAGCCGCGCAAACAGTGGCTTTGCTTGATCAGGATGCAGCCAAAGGGTGGCGTGAGGGTGGGGGGGGGGGAGGGACTCCTACCTGAGTCGCTGGATCTGCACCATGCCGACAAGGGTAGCCAGGACGGTGACGCTGTACAACACCAGCTCCGTCATGCTGGCGCTCAGGATGGCCACTCCTCGCGTGCTGCTCTTATTGATGAGCACGAAGAACAGAATCAGAGAAATAACTGACGCAACAAACACCAGGATGCCCAGGAACAGACCTTTTGAAGCCCTGAAACATAACCCAGAAACTGTTATTGCTGTTGCAATGTTCACTTGAAAATCCTCCGACTTTTGTCATCGTTTAAGATACCTGTATCAAATTATACGTCCCATTGGAATTACTTCTAAAACTTCATGCGGAGGTTGGCAGCACGGGCTGCAAATCATGTAAAAATTGCAAAACAGGCCCAGTGAGCTTGATCACGTAACAGAGAGAAGTCAAGCCAAGAGATGAGAACACGCGGGCACACACGCGGACCTGGCGCAGTCGACCGAATACTGATGCTTCCTGTTCTTCTCGGAGAGCGTGGAGAGGCTGACGTCGCGTATGACGCACACCGTATTCAACTTGTTTAGGTTCTTCCACATGACGTAGAGTGTGGCGGCGCAGATCAGCGAGTACTCGATGGTGCAGGGGAAGAGGAACGGCGCTGCCGAGTCCACCAGCCGACCCATGATGTCCGAGCGCACGCACTTGGTTAGCGCCGTGCCCTCCACGGCCGTCCGGAAATGTTCCAGGTCGCTCAGGAGGAAGTCGAGGTCCTCGTGACTCTCGGACGAGACTGGTGGTGAATCGGTGCGGGCAAGGTCAGACGAGGTTCAGCAACCCGGAGGCCCTCGGGTGGCAACGGCAGAGACGAAACGGTTGCTGGCAAACAGCGGAAGGAAACTCCGGCGGCAGACCGACGCAGTGCATGCTCATTGACGATGTTTTGGGGACACGGAGCGGTCAGCCACCTACCATCCGACAGAGCACGTGACATCTGACGTCAGAGAGTGGCAGCAGAGCTGGAAACGTAGCCAAAGGAGGGTATGCCCCCCACCCCCACCCTCTTCCCACTCAGTAAGGTTTGTAGAAGATAGTGAGCGATTTGGTGAGGAGGCAGCCCCAGTTTGCAGAAGTTCACACACCATTTGGCATCCCCTCCCCAGAGGAAAATTCTGACTACGCGCCAGAGCACAGTTCACGGAACTCTGTCGCCAGGCAGCTACGGCCGGGCTATCTAGCGTGGAAGGACACCACAGCAATCACAGTTGGAAGTTCTCCCACGACGCAGACAAACTCTGTCGCTGACCGCTACTACGCATCATCCGCCCCTCAACCAACAACAAAACCACACTTGTAAAAACACCTAGCCGTGGCGCACCGCCCGGACTAGGCCGCCATACTTGTAAACACACCTAGCCGTGGCGCACTGCCACGACTAGGCCGCAGCCCAACCAACAACAAAACCGCACTTGTAAACACACCTGGCCGTGGCTGCCACGGCTAGGCCCCAGCACACTTGTCAATTGTGACCGACCTTTCAGACCGCAATTTAGAGACATAGGTATGTCCGCATATTGATTATGCATGTCGGATTCGGACTGCAAAAACATTTTGAAAGCTATTTTCGAGGGCTGAGCCCTTCGTTTCAAACCGCGAATCGCGTGGAGGCCTTCCGTTCGACTCTTAATGGCCCCTGTAACACACATCATTTGTGCAATAAAAGTGTGTCAAATTCATTTGCGTTTATTCAATGCGGGGTATGCTAGTGCGGGAATGCGCGCAGGATGAAAACTGGAAGAGCGTAGCATGGTTTAGCGTAAGAGCGCTTGTATGGTTTTACCATTCAGCGACCGAAAAATCCACTCAGAGGACGTGCGAGGAGACCCGCTGAAATCAAAAGGAAGTGTTTCAGGACCGACGGCCTACCGACGCCGAGCGACACCACCTACGCTCGGTCGGGCTGGGGAGAGATTTCTCCTCCGACAAGGAGTCGCCGTCCAGCTCGTGTCCTCCTAGCAGGTGCACTAGCTCGTGCTTGGTCTCCTCGATCACCACTTTCAGCCACACGCACAGATTGGTGCCCACCATGTGCATCAGGCCGAACCGCGCCACCAGCTTGTGTTGGTTCACGCACATCTGGAGGACAGGTGGCGTCCGGTGTCATGCAGTCGGTGCAGTAAAATGCGGCAGTGAGAATGGGAATACTGCTTTGCCTTCAGTACTGAAGGTCCAAGATGGGCATTGTAGTCGGTTGGATAAGGTATGCATTGTTGAGCTTCAAGCAAGAATATGCCCACGGGATAAGGGATCAAGCTCAGCGAAATAGAACACTAAGCTTAGCTGCCTTGATAGAGGATCAATTAAGTCATCAAGAGAAAAAATTGCTCACGCAACTTAATGACGGACAACGACCAGCGCCCCCACAGCATCATTAATCGTCAACAGTTTTCAAAGTTGCTAGCGATGTCAATAAAACAATCGAAAGGAAATCAATCGCTATCACGCGAGTGGTTGGCTGCGGGAGCCATTGTTAATTACTGACCAAAATTCATATCATACTAAATTTCCGCCGCATTTTAACAGCTGTCGCCAGCTGACCACCTAGCCGATTGAGCCAAACAGCTTGGCATGCTTCTAGATGTACACTTTACTCACACTGGCGTTGAGAAAGATGAAGTACATCTGGACAAATGTGAACGCCAGCTGTAGTCCCGGCGTGATGACCACCAGAATGTTCGTGCAGTCGTCCGAAGAAGACATTTCAAAATACTGGCCCATCACTAGACCAGAGTAGATCATGCTGCCGATCCCGAACACTGCAGGTATGATCCCCATGACACATACTGGGCTGCAACCTGCATATGACGCAACTTCGGGCGTGGCCAAAACAAACCAAGGCAAGGAGCCGCCATGCCTTAAATCGGCTGGTTAAGCCAACAAGCCAGTGGGGATGGTCGCAACCTTAAATAAGTGATGACAACGAATGCAAGTATGGGTGGTGTGGCAAATATCCGATGTTGTACATTATGCCATAAGTTTGCGCATGCCTGTGATGCACCAACAGTGACAAAAATACTGAGCTGCGCGCCCAACTCGCTGCGAAAGCCTGCATACGCCTCTGGACGCATGAAATGTACACAAATCGGCAAGCTCCACAAAACACGAAGATGCACAATGGACGCATATCTCGTGACGATCTTCCCTCCCTGCAGTCCCCTGTAAGCATTCGAAAGCTTCATTAATTACGCACACATACAACATGACCTACGTGTCGCCGATGTATCACGAGGGGCCATGCCGTCAGCTGGGTGGCCCTAGAGGTCGAGCGATCACCGGCCTACGGCAACGCACTATCGCCGCAGCATGAAGCCAAAGTCCCTTCTACCTCGTGTTAGGCCCAAACAGCGTTAAAAGTGGCTATAAACAACGGCGATCTAAATGTGCGTATCCCCGCGTTTAAGCTTTGCGTTAACCATTACAGCAATGATGATTAATGGCCCTTTCTGTAGGAAAATTTGTGAGGCGCAACCCAGTCCTTTAATCGCCTTTACTGGACTAGCCCAGGCCCATGTTATGAACAAATGTACCCACTCACCACTTCACATAATGGCAGAATCCAGCACAGCACCTATGGAATGTTGAATCCCAGCAAAACCTGATGTGGTCATTGTGGTATGAATGGTATGAGCCAGCATTTTGAATGTCGCCCACCCGAACGCATCACAATCCTGGCATGAATGGTAACTGTGGTACACAATGACATAACCACATAAGCCAATAGTGTTCAGGAACACAACTGAACACAGGTACACCATGGCTTACCACTCAAACCCTGCACCAGTGCACAGGTAGGACTTCCGAGGACTGACCCAATGCCCAGGTAGGCCACTCACGGACGGCGCCCATGCGCAGGTAGAAGCTGCCGTAATTGGCCACCAGCACCAGGTAGGGCTTGCGGTGCGAGGCTCTGCTGGCCTGGCTCACTGAGTCAGCGTCCCTGCCGGAGCCGTCTCGCGGGGCGCTCGAGTCCAGCCCCAGAAGGCGGCCTGTGCGCGAAGGAAGGTGAGGTCAGCTCTCCACCGCTCAGCAGGTCACGTCCCGGAGGGTCAGCAGCACGGGTCACTCAAACTGAAGGTCACACTGAGAAGTGTCGCGGTCACAGGTCACCCACAGGGCAGGTCATCCAATCGCCGCCCTCAGTTGTTCCGAAGATGGCAATAGCACTAAAATGTGAAGCTACCATTTCTGCAATGCTGCAGTCGTACCTTGCCACGAGCGTTTTGACACGCAATGCCACCAAAAGTGTCGCCAACGGGACAGTATATATTTTTACCCGACCGCTCAACTGCAGGCAGCGTGGGGCTGCATTCTGGGGACAGACATGTGGCGTGCCAAAAATAATGCAAACGTGATGCGGTGCGCGAAAAAGTGGTTTAAATAGGTTACAGCGGGCCGCTGGCACCACGTAAAAGGGAGACCGCCATTTCATCTTTAAGACATTGACCAAAAACACAAATTGGCTATGTTTTAGACACAGCAAAAGTATCAAGGAAAGCACCGCGATGCAC